CAAATGTAAGAACCGCGCTATTCTTCGACGAAAGTTTATCAGAAATTCTCCTACGAGTGAAATTTCGCGAAACGTTCGCCGCGATTTGTGCGAAGAGTCTCTTTTCTCAGGGACGATTTTCAAGACGCCATTCCCGAGAGGCGTTTTTGCAGGAAAACATTTCTCGCTCTCTTCCGGAGAGGCAAATAAAAAAATACGATCGGGCACACACGGGCGGTACGGTTGCTTCTTGGGACGCCATGAAATTCGATCAAATCGATATAATCTCCGATTGCAATTCGGTAGAATGGTCTCTCGCGTGTGCACACGGTGCGCCCGTGTGCACATTTCCGTATCTGTCCCCAAGGTTTCCATTTCGAGCTCTCGCGCCGGGCTTACGTCAGACAAACCCGAGGGAGAAACGTCGCGATCGGCAGGGTGTGATCGCACAATACTCTAGCGACTCCAATAAGAAAGTTTAGTCGTATAGTGTCGTGTCCCCGACCAATTTCCGACATCAGAGATGTTGATGGATGTGTATATGTGTGAGTAACAGTGGTGCACAGTTCATTACTGACAATTATGTGTAACTATTCGTGTATATTTTACAATACGATAGTTTAGTCTAAGGAATGAAAGCAGGTAATGAAATTATAACCGAACCACTGAATAACTAATTGCGTAAACATATGAAATTTTTACTGTCAAATAAATATTTAAATTAAAAATTTGATTTAAAAATGTATTAATTTTAAGTTAAATAAAGACAGAATTTCTATGCATGACACAACTTTCTTATGATAATAAGACTTTATATTATTTCCTTTTTATATAGATCTCTAGAAAAACCACGATATAACATACGCTTTGTATTAAACATCTTCATGGAAACATTTTTATCTTCTAAAACAGAAAAAATAGAGTATTCAGACACTGATGAGAATAATTCATTTATAACCATATCATGTCCCAATACTCACGATATATTTGATTTTTCTTTAACTGTGCAAATACCGTAGTTAATTCGTGTTCCTTTATAACACATTTCTTATAATCTTTCCATCAAAATTGCTCCTTTCAGTTTCCGGGAAATAGCGGAATTGAATAAGCTAACAGCGTTGTAAAAAAAAATGAAATTTCAGCTTGTCGGTTTGGTCGGTTTACACTGAGGCTTCGCAGGAAACTCTAAGCTATTTCGGAGTAGGACGTGTCCTAAAAGCTATGGATGCGCAGTCATAAAACGAGCGACGAGCTTTTAGACGAAAGGAGCACTTGCATTTGACGTAAAACGATCGTAAGAGAACCTCTCTACAAGTTTTACGCATATGTGTTTTTACTTTTACGTATGCCATGCGTGTACTTTTTGTAAGCGTATAACACATATAAATAACTTTTTCATTAATGGCGGTAATATTCAATAACAAAGGTCACAGGAATTGCATTTAGTTGATTTAAAAAATATATTGGAAGTAACAGGTCTTTTGAAACACTCATTATGAATGAAATAATGAAATAATTAAATAATGAAAATACTTACTCGTATATACACTGTGTCATTGCAGAAAAATGCATAAGATGCATCGTGTGTAACTCCTTTGCAATTATTCATTTATTCTTTTTCCCCTACTTCATTATACAAGTAAAATCACTCACCAAGCGTCGTTCAATCTCAATCAACGGCATCGCCAACAATCCTTGCCTTGAAGTCGTACCCCTTCAGGAATCAATTTCGTCAAGGCATTACGCTGAAAACGATAATCAACAGTATGAGATACATTATCGATGTTCCGTGCAACGACTTCAATATTATAATATACGCACGATTCACTTTAACAAGCGAAGAACGTAGGGAAAGCGGAGAATGACTGCATTTTAAACGGTTATGAAAGGAAATATGGCGCGAGTTATAACCCGGTAAATGTGTGTGGCGCTGGCAAGCGTAAATTCCTTTACGAACGCAGAAACGACCGACCGAGATATCGTTAAAGACCGAAAATCCTACGCGAATTCACGCGACTGCCAATACCTGTACATACACTATCGCGGATAAAAAGTACAAACTTACCGAGGCGTGACGATGTGATATTCACGCCAAATCCCGCAACATTTGTTTCGTCGAGCAAAACCGTCGAATACAGTTGCTCTATTTGGCTCATACATGGCTCCTTGTTTCCGACGCGATGCCATGAACAACGACGTCAAATATCGAAAGACGTCGTGTGTCGCGAACCGATTAATACGCTAAGCCGATCACCCGCCGCTTGATCCAGCATTCCCGATATTCACTCCGGCGCGGAATTCGTTCCCGACGGTAATAAATACCTGATAAAAACGTAACGATCTCGATCCATGTTCCGATCGATGAAGATGGACGAGTGTGGAAGTGTCGCCAACTGTCGCGGTAATGTTCGTTACGTCAACGGTGGCACTTTTTTCACACGATGCCCAAGTTCGTCTTTCCATACTTTCGTGCTAAAAGCATCGTCCTATCTTTATTTCTCATTATACGTTAAAGGAAGATAGAATGACGCTTTCAACACGAAAGCGTGTAAGACGAACTCAGCCGATTAGTTGCGCCAACTTGTTCATTCCAGTCGCACCATGTTGCACTTTTTGTACTTGAAATGAAAAGGCTAAATATTTAGGGTCTGACAAAAATTAGAAAGACAATATCGCTAGTGAGGACAAAAGGTGCAACTGTGAGGAACAGGTGTACATACGCAATTCCAATATAATATTCATAACTTATGTCTTTTAATCGCGTCGGTTATTTTGTTATTTCGTTTATTAACACCATTTCGACAAATTTGCGTGTCGCAAAGTGCGCGATCCGCGAACAGTCAATGAACCATCTCGATTCTGATTGGTGGACTCGCGCACGCAGCGCGCTCTGTCGTATCGATGTATCGAAAACCGACGATTCGAGTAACTCAACCGTTGTGAAACGAATCGTAACGCGGCAGTACGAATTTCGGGAGTCATTTTGTGGTCGCCGAGACTTCGACTCGTCGAAAGCGAGTCTCGTGCGAATTATCGTCGTCGGGAAAGTGAATTTCGCGTAGTTCTTCTCGACGAAACATCGTTAAGTGGTCGCTGTAACCGAATATCTCACGAAACGCTCGGTCGGGAGTGTTGAAAGAGGAATTGCGCGTTCGTTGTTGCGACAATTCAAGGTTCAACCTCCATCTTTTTCGACTCGTCGAAAGGAAATCTCGCGCGCAAATCGTCACCGAGAATGTTGAGCGGGATTTCTATTACTGCATTCTACGTTTTCAATATCGGTGAGTAACGGTACAACAAAAAGACCATGAAAAATATATACGACTTTACTTGATTGAAAGAGAGAAGGGGAGGGGGAAGAAAATGAACGAGGCCTATGCAACATATTTGTACGACAAAACTGGGGATCTGTAACAAATTCTTAGCGGATTGACATCGCGCTACACTGGGTCAAGCTCGTACAATAACAGCATACACGAAATTCCGGGGAAACGGTAAATTCTTCGAGTGCATCAGGCTACTGATATGATAACTATTCGCGTGACATTTCGCGGACGGTATGTGAGGCATAACGGAACCGTCCATAGTTATCATACCTAACAGACGCCGGTGAATTCCGAATGCTTTTTCGAAGATACGCACTGCAAATTACGTAAGCAGTTGTTTGAAACGGCAGTTCTTTTAAAACACAGTATTCACACAAAGCAAGGGGTATGGATATAATAAGTGAAAATTAGAGAAATGTAAAGAAATACTCGTTACATGTGTAGAAAGACATTGCTCGTTATTGTTTTGTCATTAGAAACATTATCTGATTAAACTTATACGATAGCTATACACGCATAGATGTACATACATACACACACATATATATGTATATATATATATACACACATATATATATAATATATATATATATTTTAATAGGTATACATGATATCATATATCGTATTTATCGTATTTAAAATCGCAATTATTCGCACTATTCCATATCGCGATCGTTATATTTCAAGTGCGGCGTCTCCTATATTTATACGTTAATAAAATCTCCTTCGTCAAAGTGGAAAACACTTTTTTATTTATACTTGCTATTTAGCTAAAGTGCGGATCTTGCGGACGTGAGAGTGAAAAATCCTCTTGGAAATGTGTGAAATGTAACACGTGGAAAAGTACATTTACGTGTATACATTCTAGGAAGGTACAGTTCTTAGAATTCGTCCATGCAATTTTTATCAAACAAGCTTGAGCACTCTGTAAATGCTTTGTGCACCTTTGAGCAGCAAACTCGTTTCATCCAACGTTGTTCCAAGGAGGTAAAAAGACGTACGATTATCTTATGTTTCTCTTTAAATAACGGTGGAAATTCGGTGTATCGTAGTTAATTATGCCTTAAAATTATACAGGGTGAGACACGTAGAGAACGTGACACCAACAATCTCTCTCTAGTTTCTCTTTGTCTTGAGTATCATTTTAAAAACTTATTTTTTATAAGCGATGTTATTTACGACAGAACACTATTAAAGCCAGTGCATGCGCTCCTCTATAACTCATTTAATGTCTCCCTAAAATCGATACTCTCTTATATGTGGATTTCGTCACGCTTTATGTGCCTCACCGCGTACATCTCGCATCGCTTAGTGATTAAAATAAATAGTTCGTCGTCATGCACAAGTATAATTTTCTTAATTATTAAACGTCTCTCTCAAATATTGCAAACACGATGATACTAGAAACAGGAAAACGATTTTAATATCCGATCTCTATTTAACACGTTTTAAAGAAAAAAGTCAAAACGGGAGGTCAATATCCCGTTAAGATATAACTCAAAAAAGGAATGTTTCGCATATTAGCGTGTCCATGTCGCCGTATCTTTCTCATTTTTTTTTCTCTTCTTTTCTCTTTCGATCTGTCATATCGATTTCACGTTACACCGCCCTCTGCTCTTTATCAAAAAACTCGAAAGTTGTTCTCCGAATACATACATATACATATATATATATATATATATATATATATATATATATATATATATATATATATATGTGTGTAAAATATCATCTTTCACCGCTTTTTTCGTCTCTTTCTTTTCAGTGTATAACGCGCGAATCTTGTCTATAAATTAAAAGAAAAGGTTGAATTTGCGGATTGCCAGTTTATCTCTTCTGTTTCTTGTGTCTGTTCGAAAATGTCCGATTATAGTCAATGTGTTGGGTCTGGCACTAGGAACTCGCATTCCTAGTGATACTTTGTACAACGCGTTGTCCCCACCACGCCTCCAAATTGAATGGCTCGAAATCTGTAAAGTAAAGTGCAATACTTCCATTCGCCAGCGAATGTCGTGATGTGTACTTTACAGTAATTAACACGTTCGTTATCATAGTTTATTTGAGAAATTCTGCCAGCAGATTACATTGTATTCTTTTTAATATATAAAACCAACTCAGTTTTTCTATGTGGATATAGGAAGAAAAATTGTTGTCATGCATACATGACATTGGTAACGAACGTGTTTATAATATATAAAAAATATAGATCTTAAGAAGGCAGATATTTTCACCGGATATTTTATTACAATATATATTTTGTATTAAATAAGTAGGGCAAAAACAATCTTAAATCTTTAGAAAACAGTCGAAATCTAATAACGAGATTCCAGGCTATGATTCCTGGTATATAAAAAAACATGACTCTATATATAAAGAAACAACAGCCAATTGAAATGCACAGTAGTAAAAAAGAACGTATTTTCTTAAGACCAATGCAAGCGGAATGGTTGATCTCTACACCTTTAAAAGTATAAAGTTCGACCATTTTATTGGCGATGGCCTGATTTATACTTTTTACTCGATTGCCTACCCTTCAGCTGTGGGTTCGGCTCGCGTTCTTGGTAATACGTAACTGACGCTCCATTTCTGTAATTGGAGGTATTACTGTGTGGTTGATTATGACACATATCTAGCTCTCTAGATACAGAATTCCACGCTGAAAAAACAATATAATATAAAGTAAAGCAAACTTTTTCTGAAAAAGAAAATATAGTTACTTAATTTGATCCTTTGTTGTGCATAAAATTGCAAGTGTACTTACAGTCATAAATATATTTTATCAAGTCAAAATGTTGCGCCAGAGCAACCGGTTCTGTCTGGCAAATCTCTGGCTGATGTCTAGAGGGCATTGTAGAAGGCCTTTTCCCATTCATCGCTGACATTTGCGATCTGCCGCTGTAAAATAATAAAATTATGATAAATGATTCTGTCTCACAGATATATGTCAACTTTCTTCTCTATTGCAAAACAAAAGCAGAATATCAATGAGGCTGTTTTTCTACCTGTATCCAATTATTTGAAAATTATATTGGTCTGATGACTCTGAGTACTGAGGAAAAATTATATCTTTTCTTGATCAAACAATGCTTTATCAGTAGGGAATACATTTATCATGTCATTACTCCTATCAGATAATCCAGTAGTTTCATAATTTTTTCGATCGGTAGATATTGTAGACTTATGAAATGCATAAAAAAGAAATATAAGAATGATCAGAACACATTGCACACATAACATGTGCTTTTTATTATAGTTATTATAATTATTTATCGACACTACTCATTTAATCTTTTGAACTCTAATTCCTTAAAGCAAAAAGACATGTATATTTTAGATTCCCAGATAAAAAAATAACGTTTCTTAAGTCTTATTTTTTTATAAATTATTTTCTAGATCATTCGAAATAAAGCCTAAAATGTAACGGTATGTTAAAACACGATTTAACTGGTAATTCAAAGGATTAACGCTCAATTCAGTCATGAAATCCTAACCTTTCCTGTGCGCAAGAAACATCGATTGCAAATGTCATGTGTAACCTAGAAATTAGTCACGCATAGAGAATCTGATTGCAAAATAAACAAACATGCTAATGACTAACCTACTAAACGTCAAGTAAACAGAGCCTCTGCATGTGCAGAGGCGCCATTTCATGCAAGCGCTTGGCAATCATTTCTGGCGAAAAACAGTACGAAAACAACGGGAAAACGCGGACAAAAGAGAACGCGTGGGCTATAATTATCGTGTGCGTAATTCGATTGATATCACGAAAGTCGAAAATGTACGCGATCACAACAGCTAAACTCTCCCACGGCGGGGAGTATAGCTGATGCATTGAAAGCCACGTATATACAAGTGCACAGCCATGTTCAAAGCGTCATAATGAACGCGCGTCATCGTCGACACCTGCGTGATTCTCCAAACAATTAGCCGTGACACGATTTCCACGTAAATCGATCATAAATATACGGTGCTAAGAAAACTGTACTTGCGTGCATACATGCACGTACGCATGCATGCATGCACGCGCGCACGTACACACTCGACACATGCATTATCGTAGAAAACAATCGGCGACGTGGAACATTCGAGCTTCTCGGCAACGAAATTCCGCGTCTCTCGAAATCTCGCGGAAAACGAGAAATCAACGGACTGAAAGCGCGAATTGATTCGAGGATAAACGAGAGCGTCCGCGAAAAAGATGGCGGGTTGACAGGTGCGGGCGTGCTTTCTCATTCCCGCCTGCGCTTTCGTTGCAGCGAGAGGGGCAATCGCGCGGATTATCGGCTTGCAGCCGAGCAGTGACGATGAGAATTCGAGCAGCGTAGGGAGCACGAAAATGACGATAAAAACACTGACGACAGTAGAAATAATGTGGAAGGAAATGAACGGGAGATAAGCGAGAATGGAGTCCGTTCTCAATTACAAATACCTCATCTTATCAATCAGTCTTGGAATTCCTCGACGATGATCCTTTGGCCTCTCAGTCTTCCGACGTGCTAGCTGATAATAGCTATCCGGCTGCTTGAACGAGTTCCAGCGAAGTGTCAGCAACAGAACACACGCTCGTGTCGCACAGCTGCGTCTGGAACTGCTGTCAACAATAGCCACGGTGTGAATCTGTGACAAACCGGAAAGAAGCAGAAACTCGCGATGATATTTGAGAAAGCGGCTACGTGATACAATTTTGTCGGCGCTAGATGGTGCTAATTCCTCTGCGCTGCGTCTAATCTAGACACACGTCGGTATTATCGGATAGTATTCATAATCAAATTTTATATTTAAAGTCATCTCAAGTCTAACTGTAAACACTGTTTAGTCGGTCGCAAAAAGATTGTAACATGTTATTTTTTTTTATAAATTTCGGAGCCCATCCTGTGTCCAGAAAGGGAATTTGTTTTATGAAATTTTCAGGAGATATATTTTCCTACTGAATACAAGGTGCATTGTGAAACTTACCAAAAAAAATGTTGCAACCTTTTTGTGACTGACCATACGGATCGTTTCACTGACTACAAAGCATCTCAATATATTGTGCTTGGATCATGTTAATCACATCATGCCAATCAAAACGATGTTTTCAATGTCGCTTCTCTACATATCCATAGAATCAAATATGAATCTTTTCTTCTAATGTGTTTTTCTAACTTGAAAGCATTTGGAAATATTCACTTTTCACGAGTTCACACTGTAGAAAAGAATTTATTATTATTGCTCCTCAGTGCTCTACATAAAACATTCAGCATGGAAAAATTATCGTTATTGCGAAACGTCAGTATTATCCATCGAGTACTTGAAGTTAGGTCGAATTAGTTCAGCTTTCTGCTAATATCGTTCTGTCTCCGCTAGATGGCTCTGCCGTATTCTCATATTCACATACTAAATGTTCGAAACCATTTCTTCTCGTATCGAACACTAAGCTGGTGTCGAACAAGCTGGTGCTTGCATAAAAAGGTATTCTCAATTAATCATAACTATTTGCAAATCTTCATGCATTCTCAGGGTTTTTAGCTCGTGATTATGAATAGACTATTATTATTATTATTATTATTACTCTTCGAGCTGGCTCGAACTAATCGGATAGGCAGTTTCATGCTGCTTATTATTATTATTATTATTAGTTAAAATGCGAATGATGATTATATTATTATTTCTCTCAATATTATACTCGCATTGCGATAAACACGCTTAAAAAATCCATCGGAATACCATAAGGAGATTGCATGAAGGAAAATGCAATTACTCCCGCTTTCCTTCCCACCGACCGCAGCAGATTTAATCATCGTTTAAAAGATACAGCCATAACACAATAGAATGGGAAAAGCCGATAACCCCACCCATAGCTTTACGAAACTTATTTCAAAACTTATCGTATTATCTGTGCGGACTTTCCTCTCTTCTTTCCTCTTCTTTATTATCGAAATATCAAAGTATCGAGCATGATTATCTCTCAAGTATAAAGTGAGGTTATGCTTTTTTTTTCGGCGTAGAGAAAAGGTAACATAACTTTTTAGTCAAATTTAAAAAAGGTGCCTTTACCCAAAATATTCCATATTTTTCCTATTTCTGAAATCTCTCTTTCTCTCTCTCTCTCTCTCACTGTCTCCCATACATCATATCACGTTCATCATATTTACCTGCCGTCTCGTTTCATAACGGTCTGATGCCATGCTCCTGTCAACGCGAGCAACACGAAGACGACAGCAGCTGTCGTCATCGTCAGCACCGATGACTGCGGCGCTTTGTTACATTGTCCAGGTTGGTTGTCACTTTACGCGCCATGAACCGGTGGGTCGTCAGCGTCGATTGAGAGATATGAAACGTTATACGCCGAAGTAAAGAACGTATAAGTTCATTAGAAAATTCAACCGCGACGAACTTCTGAGCCGCCTTGATTTTCTCTCCGTACGCAACACAACCGGGATAGTTTAGTCCCGTTGCTTGATGATCGCACGCTCGACTAACACGAAAGTTCGCGCCAATTAAATCGCGCTTTTCCGTTCATTTCGGCGATAGCGTTTCGCATGTACGAAGCCGAGCAACGGCGGCCAGGAGTCCGTAGATCGTTATTGTAGGTCGGTGCGGAGATGTAATTAACTCTATGCTTTGAACCGGGCTGCGATTTTATCGCTTGCAATTCGTTTGGTGAAAAACGGAAAAGAAAATGTATATGTATTCCAGTAGACGCAGACAAATAGAAAGTTGTAGATCATCCGAAATTGACTGGCGTCTTCAGCACGGTGCCCTTTTATAAATCGATCGCTCCGTCTCGTACAGAGATAATGTAATACGAGGATGACATGTAAGAAATATGAGAGATTCGTGCATGTGAGATTCTCATTCGTAGTATGCTCTCGTTCGCCTGTTTTTATTTTCTGTTTTTTTTTCTCGGTGCAACAATATTATGGCAATACATATGTCAAAAACATGCGTTTGTTTAAATACTTTTCAAAACAATTTTTACTGCACTCTCATATCTTTCGATGAACGTAAAGATAATCGCCCGAATTTTAATCATATTCTCTTTTTAATTTTATTTTTAATTCGGTTATATCGATTATCTTATATGTACGTACTGACAAAATTGTACTTTTGTATATTTCATATTTCTTATGTTTCCTAATTTCTTTATTTATTTTTTTAACGAGTCAATTCCGCAATTTCCGAACACGGTTATTGAATTAATGAAATCAATCGCGCAATCTTTTCGATTATTTCACTCGTGTCACTGTTCGTCTTAGTTATCTAAATACTTTCTGTCGGCATCACTTCGAAATGACATTTCGAAAAAGGCGTGCCTTAATAGCATTAATTAACGAAGGACAGTTCGCTTTGAAACTGCTTTCTGAACTGGGTCACTGCGTTTAGGGACGCGTCATGAATGCATCTGGTAATTAAACGTAACCCAGTTAACGGGTGAGACAATTCTACGTTGTCCAAGTAACGATAAAGACGTATCAGATACCACGAGATCTTGCAACCCTGATCATGGGCCGTCTTTTGGAGGTTTAACTACACTTTAACCATGTCAAAACTCGGGTACTATGGCTACATTGTGCAACTTGATATCAACAACTTCAAGCTGATCCGATCTTAATCGAGAAGATATGATAAATTAACGTCGGAAATGTTCGAAGAGATCTTGAGTGTTAAAAACATATATGAATTTTCTCCACATATTTATAAAACTAAATGAAATCGTGACGATTTTTCTAATAAAATACATTAAGTGTCGTTCGTTAATCATACGAAAGATCTTTTCGTTACGACGAAATTTGAGAACCCGTCTTATCTTGCTTCCTCAAGTATCTCCATGAGATACGAGAGATCGAAAGCTCATCCTCTCAGGAGAGGTCAAACTTCCTAGAACAGGAACCTGGGGAATAACTCGAATACAAATTACTGTGTGAGAAACCACATCATCAGTTCGATCGGGAGACAATGATATCGACTGATCATGGCCGCCCACAAGGCGTGCCTATTATTCCGTAGAAATACAGGAGTCAAATTTCACAGGATGATCACGTGTGTTGAGAGGGAAATTTCATTCCGTGCATCTCGACGTTGATGCGTGAGATTATTGACCGGCCACTCGTGCTCGATTAATTGCTGAAGAACGCGTCCGTTGCGCAAATCAGATAAATCGCTCAGAATTTCAGGAAATTAATTGTAACACGGCAGGTGCAATAAGACGATATGAATTGAACGAAGCATAGATAAGGAGGGACTAATTTCGTTTTCTGTGTGTGAAAACGAAAAGAACATGAATACTCTGAAATTGCCCTTGATATATAGCCCGCATACATCCGTGTAATATCTTCATTGAAGCGGCTCGCTTAACTAGATGCGTCTAATCAGGAATTCGATGCTCCACATCTATTAACGATCCATTGATCGCCAACGTTAATGGATGCAGCTATGATTATATCGAGATTACTCCGAATTATATTGCAATTTGAACGTGTAACTTGACGCTCAGCGAAAACGATATTTATTAAACAAATGGATGGATCGATGTACAGGATTCATTTTCTAAGATATACAACCATCGACGTAAGAGTTGCGATTCTCCATGGTAATTATTTGATACACGATCAAACTGTGGGGAAATCTGTTCACAAATCGCCTTTCGACGTCTTAGAAAATTTTATGATATTGACGAATTTTATGATATTGACATTTATCACATATCGCATTTCCGCTCTACGACTTTTCGTCACGGTGCAGAAAACCTCGACTTAAAAGATGACTTAAAGGATCACTCGAAAGATCTATACTCGATAAAAGTTTGTCGATTCGCGTAATCCTGACACGGACCCTTCTTGGGTGGGACTTTTGGCGTACAGGGAAGCCGATATCCCGAGATACGTCGAGAAACGTTTAATAAGGTGTGCTCGGTTATAAACGTCGACGATAAATCGTCATGCGCGAGTCATCGTGCGTGGAAATCCCACGGGTCACGCGTGGCAGGAAAAAGCGGCGCGTGCGATACATACATTCATGAAATCGGACAAATGCGTGTGCAATGTGGCAACAGGCGGGCGCACGCATCGATTTCCGATACGCACCGCCGTGCACACGCGTTACTCTTCCTCTCTCCATACAGAGACTCCCTGCGTCGCGCAATCCTTCGCCCTCGCCTTCCTTTCCTATCGCGTTGGACGCTCGACCAACATGGCGAAAGGCGAACACGAATTTCCAACATTTTCCTCCGCTTCATTGGAAGTCACATTACTCCGCAGATCGATATTAACCGTGCCTTGCTGTTAAAAATTCGGTGCGTCAGCGGACAAATACATGCATGTTTCTGACGGCCCTGATAACGATGAGATGGTAGCGGACAGTAACCGAAATCGAAATTTTTGAAAGTGAAAGTGATTTATTGTATCGTACGAAAAATTCCTGCTTTTATGTGATGAGCTCTATTATGAGAGAGATAGAGACCTAACTAAGGGGACGTTTAGTCATCTTGGTTATGCTTTCTTGGTATTTTAGGAAAATGATATACAATCAATAGAATTACTCTTCAAAAATGATTTTTAGCTGCAAATACGGCACTCGGCGATATATTTAATCGTTAAATTATTTTTTCACAAAATTCGGTTCTATAGTTTGAGAGCTGATAGTA